CCCCAAAACCCCAAAACCCCAAAACCCCAAAACCCCAAATTTAAGTAATTTATTGAAATATTTACCTACGAGAGCACTTGCTTTGTAATTACATGTTTTCTCTTATGATCCTTGTATAGCTCAGGTTTGTAGTTTTCTCTCTGAACCAGCTGCTGGATCTCATATCTCTTCTTAGCAGTCTGGAGGGCGTCTACTAAGTCAGCGTTCCTTCGACGCTGAGGTGTCCACCCCGGCTTCAATGACTGGACTAAGTTGACATTTTCAATACTCTGTAAAATGAGAAATGTACCTACATTGACGTTCCTCTGATTGTTAAGGATATTCTGTAGTTGAGAAGATAACCTCTTCTGACCTCCTTCTTGTCTTATATTCTGCAAATGAGGACTCTTAGCAATGCTTGTGACTGAGTGTTGCTGAATTGGGTTCAGTGTACTGCTGATATTGTGCACTTTCAGAGATGAACTTAAACCTCTCTCCCTAATAGACTATGTGTTAGAAATCAATCGTACATTATAGTTCACTTCTTCTGGATCGGGTGCCGGGTATCCAAGGTTTTGAATATACTGCTGATTTCTTCCTATTAGGGCTAAAAATAAAGCTATGAATTACTAGAGGATGATCTTGGAGGAGATTCAGTGGTATCATAGTTTCCCCCAAAAGCACCTGGAGATATATGTCTTGGGAACCCTCTCATATTTCTCTTATCGAGGGATAAATTAACTTGATTATTGTTATTTGATTTCATTTATAGCATTGTTAAACTTCACATTCTTCATTGGAGAGTCAGAGTTTCTGATAAAGTTAGTGAAAACAATACCTTATCCTGATATTGTTAATATTAATATCTTGACGATGATCTTGCACGGGCAGGGTGTTATTATCTCCTTTATGAATCTGTCTTGGAGAAGTATCCATGTTATTATCATTCATGATATCATTCAACTCACGATCCTGACTCACCTGCCTTCTAAGAGGGGTATTATTATCCTGGATTGGCTGGGTAACTTTCTGAGATTCTTGTGCAAAGTTGCCATAGTCTTCATTGTTTTCGATATAGTTTTGTGAGGAATCTTGCTCATCTTCTTCTGATTCATACTCGAAATAGTCATCCCTCCATGAGAAATCAAGATTACTTCCATTTTTATTCTTATTCTCGTAATATCTTTTACCATATTTAGCAATATCTTTGGTGTATTTAGGCCTAACATAGGAGCCTCCATCTTTTTGTGTCTGATAATCTGCATGATTTGCGTATGCAAATGTTTTATTATGATCCTCTTCAGAGGTTTGGCTCTGAACTGAGTATTTTCCATTTACCACACTTTTGCTTCCCCTTTTACGATTCAGTCGTCTAATTTGCAAGTTGAATCTCTTGGTTCTCTCTCTGTTTCTAAATGGATCTGGTTTAGCTCCTTCTATGTCATCTGTGGCTAACAAATCTCTTGTGTTTGAGACATGGATTGCCTTCTTTGGACTTGCACCAGGGATATCATTTGTTTTTAGTCAGAAATTCATAATTTTATTAGGAGGATCTTTGCTTATTTTCTTTGGCTGAAGCTCCTCGTACCCTTCCCCATATTCATAAGGCTTTACTATTGGCTTCCTTGGAGGTGAGATATCGTCTGTTCTGAGGGAATTCATTCTCCTTGTACTTTGAGAGCTATGTTTGAAGGTTCAGAAAATTGAAAATTTTAGATATGATCAGTAGTTATGAACCGATGATTCAGCCGGTGTCTAGGTCTTATGATAAGTTTAATCACTTCTGCTGGTAAAACTAGAAATACTAATTTGAAAATTTTGAGGAAAGTTCTTACAAAGTTTTATTAGACCACAAAGATATTTACACAACCTGTGTTTTCAGTACCCAATAAAACAATGCAGATATTTCCAGTTTTTATTTCTGAGCTATTTACACAAGGAAATATATTCCTTTCTAAGACTTTGAATTTTATTTCCAATGAGATCTTTTCATTCATAATTTGCAAAATACATATTTAAAACTCAAAATACTCAGAGAAAATATACTCAAAGTCAATATCCTATAAATCAACTCTTACTTGAGATACGGACTGGCAGCATTGAGGCTTGGATTGAGTACCAAATTCGTCCCTGAATTACTCTGCCCAATATATGGTAACTTCTCTGCTAAAGCTAGTGGATGTCTCTTCAACATGCTCTATACCTCAATATCACTTCATATTCCCCAACCACATCCAGTCTTCCCATCTCTCCCTCTCCATTGCCCTATTATCCCATACCTAGAAAAACCTCTGATAAAATTATATAAAGTTCAATATTCTTCAAATAATACGGGGTTTTGGGGTTTTGGGGTTTTGGGGTTTTGGGG